ATTAAAAATCATTTTCTTGATTCTCTAGATTATTATCCCTATTATCATTATTCAAAAAACAGTCTATGACAGATAAGTTTTTATTTCTTTTCTATTAATATTTTTTTAGACTAAGAATTAATATCTAATTTTGGCTATAAATTTCTAGCTATACTATTCAGTTCACACAATTAGCACCAAATATTACAATTGGTGGAATAGCTTTAGGAGTAGATACCAGTTTAGTGTCAATTGTAAACAAAGTATAAGAGGTTTGTAGTAGTTTTCACAGTATTAATTTGGTTAGTTTTAGGTATATGAGTTGACAGTTTAATGAAGAGAATCATGTGAGCAATAAACGAACTAATTTATTATATATAGTTGATCTAAGTAAAATAGTCTAATTTTGAGGTGATAAATGAACTTTACAATTTTGGGTTAAAGAGTTTTACTTTAATTATTGTTTGTTCTAAGCATTAATACAAATAACCTTATAACAATAGAATTACACTCTAGCATATATACAACTTATAATTGCATATTACTATGAGCAATAATTGTTCAATTTAAAGTTAAAACTGTCTTTATTTATAATTTCTAAATTTCTGTGGTATTAACTTTTTACTAGTAGATTCTATCTCTTTCTGAGAGTTATTATCTTTTGTTGAGGATTATTGTTTCTTGCTGAGAGTTATTATCCCTCATTAAGAGTCATTACCCCTCAAAGCCACATTTATCATTTCTCAAAATAGAAATATATACATATAAAGTATAAGAAAAAATAAAGATAAAGAAATATAGATAATAAAGTATAAGACAAAAATAAAGAAAAATAAACAAAATAAAAAATTATAACAATAAAACTAATAAAACTAATAAGTGAATACAATTAGTAATGTGGCCTATCAGTCAGGTATGCTGAGGGTTAAACTACACCTTCACAGGCTGGGGCTGATTAAAATAAACTAGAGTTGTAAATAGTAAGTTATTATTAATAAGTTAACAAATAAATTGAAATAAGTTACTAAAACTTTTAATAAATTGTAAAATAATCATAAATTCAGACAGCATTAAGTCAAAGTTAAAAAAAAGATAACCAACTAACACAAAACATGAGCATGCTTATTGGGGATTTTTAGACATATGGCAATTTTCTTATTATAGTATTAAGTTATTAATACAGGTAAGACCATTAATATTATACAACTGATTTTTCACATAGTATATAACATATAAAAAAATAATTTTATAATATCAGATCATTCTACTAGTACATGTTACAATACAATTTTTATTAATAAAAATGGTATTGAATTATAATTATAACACGTACTAGCAGAATGATCTGGTATTGTAAAATTATTTTACAACAGGATAAACAGCACAATAGAAACTTGCGAAAGTGGTTATATTATTAATACAGATTACTATCTAAAATAGTAACTAACCTATCACTAACTCTAACTAAATAAGATCTGTATCAACAATATAACTAACTCTGTCATAGATTTCACCCTTTTATATTATTTTTTTATATGTTGCATACTGTGTGAAAAATCAGTTGTATAACATCAACAGTCTTCTCTATAAGGAGATCAAATTATAAGATATATAAGATAGTTTGGGATAGCTTATGATATAGTCTGCCTGGTCGACTAGGCCAAGTATCATAGTGCATTGACTAAAAGACTCAGGTCTAATATAAAATACCTGAAAAAAAACTTATAAAATACCCAGGGGTATTTTGACTATTACTGGGTCAAAATTTTGAAATTTTACCAGAATTATATAATTTTACATATATATTATACCTAGGTATTTTATATGGGGAATATTCAGAATGGAGGTCTTTTAGTCAGTGTACTATAGTAATTATTGAGTTGGCCCAAGCATTTATCATTGGCCTATATCACTATTTTGAATATTTTAATTATCAAATTATTTTATACTTACTAGATAAATTTATAATCTAAATAAGTAATTTATAATATTCCTAAGATAGAATAACTTAAGAGTAGGTGAATAATTTCTATTTTTAATAGTAATTACTTGACAAATATAGTAAAATCGATTTTCATATATTTTTATTATTTAATTTGTCTAGGTTGTACAAAATTTGCCTAGGATACATAATATAAATAACATTTGAATATTATTGTAAAAAAAATTAGTAATATGATTACTATTGAAATGTAGATCACTTCATCCTATCTTTAAAGAGCAATGAAAATTTTTTTAACATATTTTAGGCTATACTTACAAACTAATTTAATATAAATATAAAAAATAGCTTCACTAACTATTATGATCATTACTGACTAAATGAAATAAGAAATCAAATTAAAAGTGTAAAGTTACTATTTATTTTTTGCAATGATAATAAATTTCCAGTTATATTAGAGTCCTTTGGGCCCTCATATAACTGGAGATTTACAGCTTATTTTCCAGTGAAAAATAAAAGTGGTATTCTTTATTTTGTATAATATATGACAGATCATATATTTTGTAATAGTGATTTTTTTTCTTTTTTGGTTTTTTTTTTGATTTACAAATTTTACAAATTATGCATCTTCATATTATTAATATTAAAGTTTAATTATAATGCCTCATATGAAATACCCAATGGCACGTGGTCACAGGTTACAAAATATATATTTGTGTATGATAAATACACATGTTTATTATTTAATTTTCTGATATGATACTTATTATTCTTTATATAAATTTGATATAAACTGTAAGAATTATGTGGATATTTTTAGAACATAATTGTACAATATAGTATTATTCTCAAGGTTTTGATAAGAAATCATTTTATCAAATAATCAAATATTATTTTCAACTTTAGCAGAGATGTAAACAGATCAAAGTATTTTTAATAAGGATTTAGTGGTGTTTTTTATATATTAAGAAATATCTTTACTCAAACAATTACTATATTTTATGTGAAATTATAAAGCATAATGAACTTAAAAGATTCATAAATTCGGATATACTCTTTTACTTGCCATAAAACCAGTGTTTGAAATCAGAGTTCTCAGAGTTCTCATAAGAACATTATTATAAGCTTGTGAACAGTAAAAAATTTTTACTTTTCACTATTAAAAATTTTTTGAAAACAGTAAAATAAAAATAGTATTCTTATAAGTGGTAGATAGATGAAAAAATATAATAAAAGTTATAATATTAGGTAGTGTTCAAAGATAAGCCGGCTTATCACGGCTTGCTGCGGCTTAATATGTGATATCTTCGAATTTATCACGTGATATTTTCGAGATTATCACATGGCTTGGTGATAAATTCGAATTTATCACGTGATAAGCCGCATTAAGCCGCAGCAAGCCGTGATAAGCCGGCTTGTCTTTGAACACTAATATTAGGTAGTTAGTATGTGGTTTTTTTTTTTTATAGTGAGAACACAAACAACAAATTGAGAACGCTCATAGTTATTGTACTGTTTTCATGAGAACAGTAATTAAGCCTGAAATTTCGAACACTGCATATAACCATACACTCTGTTCCTGGTATTATAATTTTAATGCAATTTAATCACATAGAAATCATAATAATTTGGTTGCAAACTAATTACAACTACGGTTATCAGGATATTGAGCAGGTTCTATAAGGATCTTTTTAGTAGAAATCATGCCAATTTTAATTCAAGACTAACTCAATCTTAACCACTATGCATTCTGCATTAGAGAGTGACAGGATTTATAAAAATAACATAAGTTCAATGCAAACCAACATAATCTTAACTACATAATAGTCTATAAAATAAAATAGTGTGTTCAGTAACGGAATTTTTGTAACAATAATTCTGATGCAACTGACTTAACCATATGATCACTGAAATAGAAAGTTCTGTGAAAGAATCATCTGTAGTAGATATTATGCAATTAAAATACGAACTACTCGCCTTAATTACACAGAAATAAAGATGATTCTCATGCAAGCTGTGAGTAAGCTCTGCAGAATTTTTTATAGTAGAAATCACTATTATTAAAATGCAAACCAACTCAACCTTAATCACATAGAAATCATATACCTCCGGAGAAAACCAGCACAATCTTAATTACATGGAAATCATAATCATAATACTTCTACAAACTAAAACAATCATGTGTTGTCGGAATAGCGAGTAAGTTCTGTAACAGAATTTTCTACAGTAGAAAATTACGATAATTCAGATGAATTCTTATACAAACAAACTTAACCTTAATAACCTAGAAATCATGATAATTCCGATGCAATTAGCTAAACCTCATTACATAGAAACCATAATAATTAAGATGCGAGCTAAACAATTTTGCCATATGTTGCGGTTATTGGAATAGCACGTAAGTTTGTACCGGAATTTTTTACAGTAGAAATCACGATAATTCTGATCTAATGCAACATTATCGTTTTTTTTAAAAATTTAGATTTAGTTGGATCGATGAATTTTGAGATTTTTTTTTGTCCATGAGTCTCATGTATATACATGTCATACGTGATCGGACTGGTCCTGCGCGGCATCGCATGTCACGCAGCTATCCTTATTATGAACTGTAAAAATTTAAAAAATAATAGAAAAATATACGAATGGTTCTGAGACTAAAAGCAGAAAGCTATATCAATATGTACAGTACGCAAGTATGTAATCAACCAATCAAATAATCGTACAATTTTAATAAGGGTTTCATAAGCGATCCATAAAATATTTATAAGTAAACAAATAGCCAATAAAATACATTTGCACAGTTAATTGTCCGGAGCAAAGCAGAAGACTCATATTTCTATATGCTTTGATGACTGGATTACACTTTGGTACAATTAGAAATGCCAAAATCGGCGTTTATATAATACTATAATTTAATTTGAAAAGCATTACTATAAATTTAATAAATGCATAATTTTAAATTAATCAATTAATTATCGTGTTTATTTATATAAAATAACATAAAATAATACAGTGGATTTATTCACTATTTAATCAAAAGAAAACTCTTATTTTTTACAAAGAGAATTTAATATGTTACTTATTGACAAATAGCAGGTTCATTCCCTAAAGACTTACATGTTAGACCATTGTTACAGCCCGTAACCTCACAATTAGAACCAGCACCACCTCCAAACTGACAATCACCTACACTAAAAAGCTTTGATAAAAAGCTACAGCGCTTCACGAGGTCAAGAGATTGATCTATTAATAAATATGAATCAAGCATTAAATATACGATGAGAAATTGAAATATTACGAAAAAATTCAATACAAGTAAAAAATAAAAGAAAATCGATTTTAACCATGAACAGGTAATGCATGAGTTAACATGCCACAGGTGATATAACATATAATGGTGAACAAAAGAAATAATTTCATAGCTTCTGTAAGGTAGGATATATTAAAATGAACGATAAGATTAGAGTATCTCAGATATATAAATTTTCTGTTATCCAGAACAGAAGAAACAGAAGACTAGAGTATATTAAATAATTAAATTTTCTGTTATCCTGAACAGAAATTTTTTTTGATTATTTTAAGAACGAAATTTTCTGTTATCCAGAACAGAAAAAAATTATTTCTTGTAAAGTAATAAACCATTCTGAACAGGTACGTATATATAGAAAAATTACAGGTTAATCTTGGCATTCTTGGCACATTTAATTAATTTATGATCTCATTTTTGGAATTCCTGTTTTAATCAAATTCGTGATGTTGAAATATTAATTGTTTCAGAATTTAGCGAAACAGCTTAAATCTCAAAGTCAAAATTCCGATGGGCTTTTCGTATTTACTTATTTGTGCTAAAAAAAGGAAATCTAATTTTGTAAATAAATTAAGTGTGCAAAGATGACTGTTTTCAAAAATGTGTCAACAATGGTCAGTCGCGATTTTACCGTTTACTTATTTGTACGGATAACACAAATCAAAAAAGGAAATGAATTTATAAACTAAGTGCATAAAAATAGAAGTTTAGGATTAGGACGTTAGTGATAAGTTGGAGTTTCTTATATGTGAAATAAGGTAGCTGCGCGACGCTGTCACGCGATACCAGGAACGTAAATTTATGAATTTATTCAATTAATAACTTGTGAATGGTGCAAATTATCTAAAATATCAGTTTATGAAATTACGAGTATTAGCAATTTATAGAAAAATCACAATTCAAATACAATGCTATATTAATAATTGGCTAGATATAATTACGTAATTAGCTACAATAATAAGATTAATAATAGTAGTAATGGCCATACTCTAAGATATGATAGCTGGTGAATTAATATTTAAAATAGGTTAAGTTATCAAGTTAGCTTAAAAGACAATATAATACATATATAAGCGACACAGAGCACAAAATTCTATTGTAAAATACCGGAGGTCCGTTTAGTTAAGTTGACTTCCGGCGTAGTTTTAAAACAGCCGGAAATTTTATAATATTAATTATATTGCAGGAGTTTCTAAATTTCGTTTACCGAAAAAAATAGCAGGTTACATAACCCGGAAATTTTGTGCCCTGGAGCGACGCCAAGGAAAAACAGGGTTCAATCATCTGAAACTTATATAATTGAAGTCTCATTTTCTCTTGGCATCATTTATATCAGAAATATTACAAAAAAAAAAGAATAATTTTAAAATACGTAGAAAAAAATGCAATTACTTAATATGTTACCCAAATGAGTGCTTTATTGACAATCATATATTAAGAATAAGGTAGTTGCGCGACATTGTCGCACAAAACCAGGAACGGAGGTTATATTTGAGTAATTTTTTTTTTACAAAGTAAACTTTTTTATAAATAAGCTTATATAGTAATATATTATTTGGATTTTCTAAACGGTGATCATATCTTGAACAATCCACTATGTCTTTCTTATCCATATAATAGTCAGTTCAAAGTTTTGAAATAAAAGAAATCATGTTGTATAGAATATATATATATATATATAAACAATTTTTATTTACCGGTAAAATAATTGCAAATAGGTTCGACCTATATTACAGTTTAATCGGATAAACTTTAAACTTACGTACGAATGTACATACCTCACTTTTTAATCGACAGTCATTTGAAAGTGACGTTTAACATTACAATGAAATCATTTTAAGATTCAAAATCTGTTTAATTTATTTGATTTTACAGAATTAGGAATTTGACATAATATATGAGAACCAGGGACAAAAATTTCCGGGTAATGTAACCTGCTATTTTTTTCGGTAAACGAAATTTAGAAACTCCTGCAATTAGGGCTCGAGGCACAGAGGCATGGGCATGCCTTTTGGGCATGCCTCGGGGTAGTGATGGGCAATTTGCAGTTTTTACAAAAATCCCGCGCAGGATGCGGGATCACGCATGTGATCTGCGCGGGATTCGCGGGATTGTTTACTGGAATTATGCCGGAATTATGGTAGTGGCCCGAATTATCCCACGCATCATGTGATGAATCCCGCGCGGGATCCCGCGTGATGCCCATCACTACTCGGGGCATGCCTATGGGCATGCCACTTGGCCGTTAGGCATGCCCATTCATGTTATATGTATGTTGTATCTGGTTGGTCAGCATGTCAGAAGTAGCCGAGGTCATCAGAGTTGTAATTTTTTACCATTTTAATTAGCATAAACCTCATGCACTGGTTGATAATCACAGTCATCGCGATAACAAATTTCAATTTAGACAAGTCTAGCTTTTTATTTACAACATTTTCATATTTATCTTTTTAATGCCTCGCATTTAAGTTGGTCATATTCGAAAACATCTGCATATATAAAAATCTACACGATTTGATGCAAAAATTGCATAATAGCAGATAGTTGATCCATAGCGAGAATTCTGTAAAAATTTTTAAGCAATCATGATAGAAATCATGAAAATTCCAATGCAAGCCATATATTGTAGCCACGAGAATACAAGTTCTGTAATAGTAAGTCACGATAAAATCCTATAATTACAGTAACTCATAATAGAAATTGATAATTTTAATAACTAGCACAGGTTGAATAATGGCTCCAACCGGCATAATGTAATCCTGATATGTACCTTATTTGAAACAGATATTTAGCGGAAATAGGAGACCTTTAGGATACTAATCGGGTTCATATAGGCATTCAATACATATCGGGATGCCGATAGCTTTCCTAATAGCTAGAACTATCGGCATCCCAATATGCATTGAGCGCCTATATGAACCCGATTAGTATCCTATTTACGTTATGCAGGTTGGAACCCGATTTGCCTTCATTCAATTTGTGTAACTAAACCTTAATTAACTACATATCGATAATATGTATCGCTGGAAAATTTTTTACAATAATTCACAATAAATTACTATAATTCTGGCAACAGAATTTTTTTACATTAAACTATGGTAGAAATTAC